ATATATATATATATATATTCGGTGATTCAAAATTTCGTTTACAGTAGGGTGTTACTAAAACTCGATTCAGCTCAGTTGAGCAAAATGAACTCATTTGTGAATTTGGGTGGGAGTTGCGAAAATCATAGCCGGGCTCGGTTTTTCTTCCGATGATATTTTGGAGTGTGGGCACAAACTTGCTTTAGCATTAAAAGCAAACAGACTACCGCTGACAGCGCTGCCGATGGATTTCAAAAGCTTAAACCAAAAGCTTAGAAGTAACTATTCATCTGCATCTGTTTGTTCGAAACTTTCTAACGGCCACCCGGGTTTACATGGATAATACCTGATCTGTTGATCACACTGAACATTTTTGAATGTCCCATCGTCATTGCATTCAATCCTTGGCGCGTCGGAAGATGTTTTTTTATCAAGACCATTATAAGCAGCCAATTTATGAATGCAAGCTAAAAATATTAACAATATGTTATTCATATGCGACTTCAAAAATGCTTCTTCATCGAGAAAATCATTAAATTTACGCGTATGTCTGCCTGACCAAATATCAGGGTAATACAATTTCGTAATTAGTAAGATCGAAAAGCCGACGTTTTGGGAGTCCAGTCTCTGACCGCTACTCGATGACAGGTTTGGAGTCAGTTTCAATTTGTTACATACTTTGAGCTATGGGCTCAAATGCAAGTTAGGACCGCTTTACAACTGGAAAGGGCGATGTTTAATTCATTAATTGATGCAGCACTTGTAAAAAGTCGCCAGTCCGCTTTTCCTCTTTTATCTGTGAGTTCAGTTACTCAGGCTGTTTTTATAATTTCAGGGTGAACAAAATACATACGCGTAGCAGCATATGAAAAGGTGCACGAATAGCTACAGCCAATAGGGCAGCATTTTTGAAGGCCAGGACAATCAGAATCCTCAACGCATTCACTTCGACAACTTAGATCTGTTGTGCCATTAGCCGAGCAATTCCCCAGCTTTTCGATTTTTCCGAGTGATGCTAAAATGCATCATTTACTAAACAAAGTCTGAACGAGCAAGTAAAAAACAGGTTTGGAGTAGTTCAATTAAGCGATGATTTGAAAATCAAGGTTACATTTACTGATCAGAATAAGCCATCAGCTTGCTTCTAAGCAACCCTCACAAGACAGACAGCCTTTTCAGCGGGCAGCCTGTGCTGACAAGTACTTTCGAGCACCTCTGCTTCTCTAGAAAGCGAAGACTTTGTTGACATTAATCAGGCGCTGTGTTACTGTAGTGTATCTTCGCGCTGTAAGATCGTCCGGCACTTTTCTACGGTTACTTTACCCAAAATTGCCTTACCAGGTAGTTAGCCTACAGAGAATTCCGGCGCCTGCCGCCTTGTCTTACTTCTGCTCTTTGACCGTGACAAATGCAGCACAGTCTCATCATCTCCGTCGTTTGTGTGGCACTTTAACTCATCTAATAACGATAATTTTATATCTCTCCAGAATATCTCTTGTGGACAGTGGTGGAAGTGGCCCAAATTTCAGTCCCAGGGCCAATGATCGAGATACAGTGAATTTCAGAAAATTTCACTCCCGCTACATCAAAAATTCAGCTACACGTTATCGAGTGCGAAAATCTGTTGGTCATCGACCGAGGGTTTTTTAGCTTGAATTTAGATGCAAAGAAGTTAAAGAAAACGAAGCGAGCTCAAAACCTTAGGCTGCAGATTTATGCATAGCAGTGAATATTGGCCTAAATTTTAGCTTTCTAATTTCTAAGTTCAAGTGTGTAAATGAACTGGTACACGCAAAGGGACGATTTCGTCTTAATAATGGTTTTGTTGCTCCAATAATGCAAAGTGGATAACCGCGAAGGACAAGGAATGTGAAAGTGGATTAGTTTTACTTACCAGATTTCTGTGCTATAATTTGATTACCGCCAGTTTCTTCCAGCCCCAGATTGATGCAGGATGTTCCACAGCCATTGAAGCAGCATTTTCCGGAAGTGCAGTCACTGTGGGTATGACATTGTAACTTACATTGTTTCGCATCACTATATGCAGTTTCAAATACATCTGGGCAGACGGCTGAGGATGCTTCTGGAATGTTGTAGTGTATTCGCCTGGCAGTAAACATATCAAAATGCGTGAC